ATATTTTATTGTGAGTGTTGTTTTCTCAATGTCTACATTTGGTTTATTCTCAAATAGCAATGATGGATTCTGGACTAGAGTTGTAGACTCTTCTGATACAACTCTGGCAAGGTCAGCTTTGGAAAGGGGGAAGGGGGAAGAACTTTGAAAAGACAAAGTCGCTGTAGCAGTGGTGAGTCTCTCTCTGGGAGGACAGGACGGGCACATGACATTGAAGTCTGTGGCTGAAAATGCAGTAGTGCTTTCTTTGGAAAAATCTCTGGATGTTGGCCTCACAGAGCCATATCTATGCCTTCGGAGAATCGGAGTTCTATATGGGCTGATAATCTGTCCCCTGCCCCAAATTTTCCTCCGTCTCCCAAAGCGTCTAGACAGTGGTATGTTAATTGTACTGTTTCTAGGAATCTGAAGCTGAGGATGAGCAGCAGTGTGTGGATCTGAAGGGAGCCCAGAGGTGCTCGGTTTCTGAGTAGTGTGAGAATAGAAGTGATTGCTCCTGGGCTCAGGTGTTTGTTGACCATTCGTGGTATTTACTGACTCCAAGAATAGGTGAGCTTTGCTGTTAGGGCTACTAAGCATTTTGATATTGACATCTTTGATCCCAGTCCTCACTGTTACTGGGGGTGCACTGTGGAAAGGCTCTCTTCTCCCCATCTGGTCAGCGTCCTGAAATTCAGTCACTCCAGGTAGTAGTGGAAGGATAGTAGATGAATTTTGATTGGTTGTCCCATGCATTTTGCTTGATATGGTTGGGTTTGTATTCTCTGATATGGTTGTAGTTTTAATAGCAGTAGAGAGTTTGAAATCTATAGGTTTTTCAGGTGGTAGTATTTGTGGACTCACAATTAGAGAGACTTCTGTGCCAGAAGTTGTATATGTCACAGGGCTATCAGATATTGTTCTGGAATCAGCAGTCACTGGCCTTACAAGAACATTCGAAGCTTTAGTTGCCAGGATCATAAATTCCTCATCTGGAGGGAGCATGGCTGAAGAGTCTTCTTCCTCACCAGGTATTTTCAGGAGGTGGGTGGCTGGTGAAGGTGGCCTTACTGTGGTATTTTCTCGTTTCTCTGGCACAGCATTCTTTTTAGCTTTCTCCAAAAGTGTTGCCCAGTGCTGTGGGTCAATTCTACGAGCAGAGGGAAGGAAGTGTCTCCTGTGCTCCCTAAAACGTCGATTTGTTGATTCCTCACGTTGCTGGTGTATTAACTCCTGAGAGTTGTGCTTCCTACTTGTGCTTGAGACCTGTTTTCCAACCTCAGCTCCCACTGGAGCAGATGTAGGGGGTTGTACAGCTGGTGGAAACTTAAGGTGAGCAGTGGGATTGGGCTCATCCAATCCAGACCCATCTGTTTCTTCGTGATGCTCCACTGGCCTTTGTCCTTTTATTTTGACTGAAACTTGGAAAATCAAAAAATCGACCCCTGATGGGTTGGCTGCTATACAGCGATAATGACCTTGGTCTTTTTGGGTGACCTGTAATATTCTTAATGTGCCATTACTAAGAACTTGCTTGTCTCTAGAGGACTGATAGACCACTGTGTTTTCTGGAAGAACCCAGCTAATAGAGGCATCTGGGATACCAGTAGAATGGCATGGAAGGTCGAGTGTTTCACCAGTGAAAACTGTGCGATGAACCCCATTTTCCTGATAGGCTTCTATGCTGGGCTCCACCACAGTTATCCTGTAGGTGAGAATGTCTGCATCATCGTAACTGGTGCTTATGCAGTGATACATGCCTGTGTCAAAACTGTCAGCCATCTGGAGCTCCAGCTTTCCATTTCTGTCTATTAGGACTCGTCCGTCCTCACTCACATAAGGGGCTCTCACTTTACTCCCATCAGCCAGAAGCCACTCCAAATGTGGGGTGGGGTCACCGTGGCTTGGGCAGTTCAAGTCAACGGTCCCTCCTACCAAAACAGTGCGTTCCAGTTTAGTATTGTTGTCCCTCGAGATCATGGTCCATTTGTGTTTCACCGGCCTCACCTCTGCCCTTGGTAAAGTGACTTGCGCGTTACTGGAGTACCGGATCCATAATGTGCCGAGCGTGGTGGCAGTTCTGTTTAGCTGCAAGGAAATTTGGCTTTGCATTAACCAAGAGGGATCTGCTCTGAGATCAGCCTTTATGTTACTAAAAGTGTCTTCAGGATTAAGAGCCACCTGTTTATATTTGTAACAGAGCTGTGGTGTGTCAGTGAGCGAGTGGCTCCTTTCTAGTATCAGAGCAGAATCACTGTACAAAGCCAGAAGCTGCCACACTGACTGAATGTGACTGTAATCTATGTTGCACAGCAGAAATGTTGAAAATGACGTATTTAGCATGACGTAGTCATTTTCTTCAGTGAATGTAATGGGTGATGTCCTCAAGGGCTTTTGGATACTGCAGACCATGTTAGCTTCATTTCCAGACTGATCTGTCATATTCAAAGTGAGGGAGCCTAAGGGTGCTACGAAGTCCTGGGGAGAGATGGAGGCAGAATCACCATCTTCCAGTATAGTCAGGTTCTTTGATTTCAGGGATGTGTCGATGGTGGGCTTGGCACACAGGAAAGCTGCTGCTGGGGCCACAGCTAAGGGCTTGCCTTTAGAGGTCCTGGGGTTCATGCAAAGGGGACATTGCTGAGGACCGGAGGGGCTTCTGTCTTTCTTGCATTTTATTACACCTCGGAAAAAAATAGTTGAATTATTACCATTTGTGAACTTTCTATGAATTAATATTTGAACATTTTGAAGAATTAGCTTTTGCTAGAATTTGAAACAATTTGGAAATTTTAGTGTTTAACAGAAAATTTTCTATGTCTTTCGGCTCTGAATCTATTTCTAAAAAAGATATTGTCTATATATCCTGCTACAGTACAATATGCCTAGGCACAAGGATTTCATCTGTCTTATTTACTGCTGTATTTCCCATGCCTAGAAAATGCCTGATATACAGGTATAGTTGGTACTCAGTAAATGTTAGTTGAATCAATCATTTCCTTATCTCAGGAAGCAAAATGATGCGCTCATGTGTGTCACTTTTTATTAACAGCAACTTAGTTCTATTTCTTCATTTTAATGTTTTAAGACAGTCGTAGAACTTCATTGTCCTTTAAAAGATAACCTGTTAGATAAATGATCATTTATAAGTCCTTGGATATTATTAAAACTCTAAGTTTATTTCCATTACCCAAAAGAACATTGACTGAATTACAAAGTTTCTTGACCTGGTCAGGCTTAGTAGCAATAGAAATGGAGAGGAACAGATGGATGTGGGAGATAATGAAGCAGGTAGAACCAATCAATAGGTGAGGATTGATAGAATAGGAAGGGTAAACGAGAAGAAGAGTAAAGGAGACTCAGGTTCATGACTTTCATAACCGGATGGCCGATGGCCCCATTGGCTAAGATAGACTCTCTGGAGGAGGATCAGGCCCAGTGGGGAGGGAAGAACATTGTGCAGAAGCAGTGGGACAGCCCATTGAAGATCTGATGTTTTGATAGAGTCAGAAGCTTGCAAGTCTTAAAGCACTAGGACCAGTCTAAGCCTTTCCAAATCATAGAAGCTTCCTCAGGTATTTGGATATCACATACCTGGACACTTAAAAACAGTGCTTTAAAATGACTGGTCACTGGAATACTTGATAAGAGGTTGGTAGACTGAATGTCCCCATCCCTCAAATTCACTGAGGCTTGAATTGTGTCCCCCAAGTTTTATGTATTAGAAACTTGGCCCCCACTGTGACTGTTAAGAGGGTGGGAAATGCTATTATGGTAATTGAAAGGTGGGGCCTTGAAGAGGTGATTGGATTGTAGGACTGTGCAGTAGTGAATGGGTTAATAATGGTGGTCAGGGGCGTGGTTCTGGGGGCTTTAGAAGGAGAGTGAATGAGGAGGTTGGTTTCTCTCGTTTGCTCTGTCTGCTCCACCATTTCTGCAATGTGATACTCTCCCATCACTGTCATGACCACTAAGACCCTCACCAGATGTGTTCCCTGGATTTTGGACTTCCTAGCCTCTGAAACTGTAAGCAATAAATTTTGTTTTCTTATAAATCACCTAGTTCCAGGTATTTTGTGATAAGCAACAGAATTGGACTGATACAAGAGGTATGGTTTTCCCTTATGTAAAATGCAGCCTGGGGCATCCGTGTTGTTTCATGGAGTGGCTCTGATACCTGCATTAGACACAGCATTCAAGAGAAGCATGCACTTCGTAGAGGTATGATTTTGCCAGAGTGATTAGACAGGGTCAGACTGCCTTCCCACATGTGCACATTTCCTCTTGAAGGCTTAAAAAAATCACTCTGACCAAGGACTCCAGACTCTAGTGTGTACTTCAGTGTGACAGATAATGTCACAGATGTCTGGCTAGTCAGCATTCTTTGGCAAATTTTATAGTCTAAACCTAAGCACAGGAAGAAGCTGGCAAGACTGAAAACTCTGAGCAATTATAAGAGGTTTCTCCCAGTCACCCCCTGACAATAAGCTGCGTCCCTCTATGTACTCACCAATACCCTGGGCTCAGATGCTGCAGAGAACATGGAAGACTTCTGGCCTAAGGAAACCTCATCACGGAATTATGCTCGCATCTTGGTATGCTTATTATTGTTTGCACTGGATCAGAGTTAGCAGGCTTCTGACAAGTATTTTGCCTCAAACGCAAATCTGATCATGTCACTTTCATTCCCTCCATCACACTAGATTCATCTCACGGAAATGCTTTCTCTCCCTCGGCCCTGCCGTGCCCCGCAGGCCCGGGCACTCCGTGTTCCTTCTGCGCCTCTTACACTTGCTGTCCCACACGCGTCTTCCATCACCACCTAACTAGTCACTAACCATCTTTCAGGACCCAGCCTGAGCAGCACTGCTTCGGGGTGGGCTCCCTGCCCTATGTTCTCCTGGCACCTCTCCCTTCTCCTGTCCTGCCCTCATCACTGGCTATTAGAATGACTTGCCTAGTTGTCCATCTTCCTACAAGACTGTAAACTCTGCACCCGTTCTGTGTGCTCCAGCCCTGGCCAGGGACGCTCAGGAAAGATCCATGGAAGGAAGGGAGGGAGGGAGGCCAGCCTCAGTCTCAGACCATATTTTTTCCAAATATTAACTTATAAATCAATATGCATCTTACAATTGAAGGTATTTTACAGCAGCAGCTGGCCAGCTCGCAGTCTTAATATAGCTGTCACCGCCTGTACACCCACACACATTGTCATAGCTATTTACATTGTTCTCTTTAGTTATGTCACATGTGTTGTTGACACTACATATATTAAGTTTGCCACTTAAAATGTTTTTATGAAGATTATACTAGATTTGGCATTAGAACAAGAAGCTGTTATGTACATAGAAAGGTGTGGAAAAAGCAGCAGGACATAAATTTAATATTCATGAAATGTTTTGTCAGAGAAGTGGCCATAAATCCATATTTTATAGAAAAGCAACACCAAGAGCTTTATGGAACTGAGAATGGAAGACACCCACAAGCAGACAAGTAGGCTCTGCACTTGACTGCTGACACGTGTGCGGAAGGACTGCCTGTCCCACGCGGGGCACAGCAAGTGCAGGCGCCAAGAGCTGCCACACTCTCGGGATGGGTTAAAAACTTCAGAGTATAAGAGGCTGAGGTGGCCAATTTGTGGGTCTTGTAGGATTATCACTAAGGCATCTCCATCAAAAGGAGAACACTTGATAATTTAGACGTGACAGAAAGATGTTAGCCTTAGCAGGTTGGTCTAATTATTTCACATGTGTGTATATATGCATGTGTACATATGACATAGGTGTGTGTATGCTGTGTGTGTGAAAATATACATACCCACACACATACATATTTATATATATAAAAGTTTGGGACGTTAAAACCATAGGTAGATGGTGGGTGGTAGGCTCATTAGTATTCACCATCAAAATTGCTATTTAACTGATAAAAGTTTAATTTAATAAATATGATTGAGTACCTACTATGCTCTAGGCATTTACAGTAGCAGGGCTGCGGATAGATAAATGAGACATGGAAAAGACAACAGACATCTAGCACTAGTAAATATAATAAAATGTTATCCTTCCAAGAATGGAAGTGCAGGCAAACTACAGAAGTGGTGACATGACTGTTCCCACATGGTGGGGGCAGGTGGAGGAGCAGCTGGGTCCCCCAGAAGGGGGAAAGCTGAGCCGAGTTTGTGGGCTGGGGGCTCATCAAGCAGAACGGGATGGAAGAGCTCCACGCAGGGCAGCAGCAGGGATGAGGTGGTAAAAGGGCTTATGGTGTAGTTCAGAGTCCTTAGAGCAGAAAGTGCCTGTGTGTCTGGGATGGAGAGGGGCTGAGGGCTGGGAAGGAAGGCAGGGGGCTGAGCACAGGCGGGGCCACACTAAGGGAACCCGGCGTGTGGGCTAAAGGGCATGGGCTCTATTATATAAGATAGGGGTCTGCAAACTTTTTATGTACAGGGCCAGATAGTAAAGATTTTCAGTTTTGTGGACCATAGGTCTCTGGCATAACTACTTGAAACACAGTCACAGGCAGATGCATTAAGAATTCATTATCCCTGAATTATTATTATCATTTTCTCTCCAGCTAAATTTCTGTGACCTCTCCACATACTGATAAAACACCTCCCGCTGGTGTCCTCTACTTAATGAGGACAAAGAAACAGCATAGATACCTGGCTTCTCCTGTATCCAGTCAGACAACCATTTTAAATGGCAATCACAGGTCCACGGGTTCCCATGCAGATAAAGGCTTTCTAGGTCGGGCATGTAGGAGACCATCTCCTGAGGGAGGGAGGTCAGGAAGTTATCAGACAAGTAGAGGTACTTAATGAAAGATGTTTTAAATATCTGGAGGTAGCGCAAAGAGACAAACGTATCTGGATGGAGCTTCGTAAGCTGATTTCCCTCCAAGTGCACCAAGCGGAGAAAGGTGAGTCCGTAAAAAGCCTCTGGGTTTATAAACTCAATATTGTTGTGGTCCAAATGCAAGCGTGTCAAGCTCCTGAGGCCACAAAAAGTATCTTTCTGAAGTTTTCGGACCTTGTTATAGCTCATTTTTAAGACCTAAGAATAAAAAGAAAAACATTTATTTTGTCAAAAGAATTTTCACAAGAGGGAAAAGTGTATCAATAATAAATGTACGTTCAGATTAATCCAATGCAATGTGTATACCTTGTTTGGATCTTAACTCAAAGAAATTAGTTTCGGATTAAACATGACAATATCAGAGCAATTAGAACACTCATCAACTTATTGGTTTTACAGAGGTATTGCTGAAATTGTAAGATATAATAATAATTGTGTTTTTTAAAACAAATCCTTGACCTTTGATATCTATGTTGAAGGACATACAGATGAAACATTATGATAACTTGGATTTGTTTCAGAACAATTCAGTGGCTTGGAGAGTAGTGGGTGGGCTGCAGGTGGGATAAAATTTGTCATGTGTTGCTAACTAGGAAGCTGGGTGATGATACACCAAGCTTCATTATACTGTCCTCATTACTTTTGAATATGGGTGAACATTTCTATAATAAGAAGGTTTAAAAAAAA